AGGCGAGGTGGGGGTCGTTGGGGTAGGGAGGGAGGTAAGGCCCCCGGTGGAAAGGCGGGGTGGCCGGCGGGTACGAGTAGGGCCCGCCACCGGACGTCATCGGCGGCGGGACGACGACGCCGTGGTGGGGGGCGGGGGCGGCGGCGCCAGGGAAGATGCCGGCGGGGGCGGGGTGGTGGTTAGGGTTTGGGGCGGCGGAGGCGGAGGCGGAGGCGGGGGGATGCTGCTTGAAGAGGCGGTTGAGCTCGAAGGGCTGGTTGGGGGTGGGGTTAGGGTTCCCCGAGGGAGACGCCATGGGAGAGGAGGGGAGGGGAGGCTGCGGCGAGATCTGGGGAGTGGAGCGGCGTGGCCGCGTGGGAGAGGGGAGGAGAGGGGGGAGTGGGGCGTGGTGGAGGTGGAGGAAGGAGGCGAGTGCGCAGGAGAGAGAGAGGGAGAGAGAGCGGAGGAAGAGGAAGAGGTTGCTGTAATTTTGCGGCCTGGCCCCTGGGGTTTTGCGGTTTTAGTACTGCAGTGCGGGATTTGGTAGCAGTATGGTTGCCTCTAGTGAAATAATCGAAACCATTTTTTTTTAAGGCTCCAATCGGATGGCCTAACAGCCAAAGAAAAAGCCAAAATTTGAATTTTCAAACTTAATTTTAATATTGATTTTGAGATATTTTCAATGTGGTTTCTTTTATAATATTGGCTTTTAAATCACCAAAAACACATTTATAAAAGTTTCATCTACAAATTCATTTTTATTTCCTAATAAGCCGTTTTGGCTTATTAGGAAATAAGCCAAACGACGGGACCTTAAGGAGTGTTAAATCATCAAATATCTCATGCGAGTGGGAGGATAGGCTTTTGGAGTTTGGAGACCGGAGCTCTTCTATCAATTTCACGATATACTTTTGCATGACTTTTGAAAGAATCAATTCATCAACGAGAAGTCTCATGGGTAAAAAGAAGGCCTTAATATCGTTCCTAGTTCAACATAACCAGTTTGATTTTTAGTTTGTAAGATATAATTTATTAAGAAACCGCTCATTTCTGCCTTGAAGAGATACGATGGGAGATAATTTATTCTGCATATTATTAAATGATAAATGTTGAGACATTTAAAATATACGATCTTTAAGATAGGTAAGTCTTTCTTGCAAATGCGACAACATTGAAAATGCATGTGGATTTTCTATACGTTGATTTAGATTCAATTGTTTTAATGTTTACTTTTTAGGTTTTCTCGCATCGCACGACCAATATACGCATCATTGTAAATCAATAGACGACAATTTTCCCCATGCAAAAGTGTTAGGGCCTTCACTCTACTGGCATGCATTCATGCCTATCCCATCACTATTCAGTGGGGATTGTCTGCAGTACTGCTGATGCATAGCAGACACTGACGTGTGAGCCCGGACCCACATGTCAGCCACCGCTACTGCATCAGCAGTACTACAGAGGATTTGCATCCATCACTCTTACATGTATCACTTTGTAGATATGCTCACATCTCTTGACACGTGCTTGTAAATCAGTTGCTACTCTTAGGGTTTGTCCATGTGGAAGTCAAAATTTTTTTGCCCTACTTGAACTTTTATAACTTTTAAAATATCAAACGAATGTTTAGTTTGATATCAATTTTTGCTCACGCTTAATTCAAAGTCTATACTAGCAAATTTAATTGTGCCAAAACTGTAAGGCAAAAATTGACTCCAAAACAAACAAACTCTTAAAAAAAGCCCTAATATTTTAGATGGAGAGGAAAAGAAAGAGAGAACATGCCAGATGAAAAATTAAACATTGAGGCAATATTTAACCATTATATATAATAAATTTTTGCCTAGTTTTATGTATATGGCCCATTATATATAATAAAATTTTGCCTAGTTTTATGTATATGGCCCATTATATATAATAAAATATTGCCTAGTTTTATGTACACGGCATCAGTTGAAAATAGTGACTATATGTCACTTGCATCATAGAAGTAATTTTATGTCACTTAGTTCGTTAGCATATTGTCAAAGACAATCTCTGTAGCAAAAGAGAAACGGTCTATATGACAATAGTCAATTCACCCTTTGAAATCTATTTGCAATTATTATATTGGGAGTTACATACTCCCTCCATTTCGAAATGTTTGACACCGTTGATTTTTTAGCACATGTTTGACCGTTCGTCTTATTCAAAAACTTTTATGAAATATGTAAAATTATATGCCTACATGAAAATATATTTAACAATGAATCAAATGATAGGAAAAGAATTAATAATTACTTAATTTTTTTGAATAAGACGAACGGTCAAACATGTGCTAAAAAGTCAACAGCGTCAAACATTTCGAAACGGAGAGAGTATTAATTATAGAATTCCTTCATTGTTCTCGTGAACATCTAAACTTCTCTTTCAAACAATTTCCAAGTGGTTTTGTCACTTAGAATTGAACAAGCCACCACATTTTAATTATGTCTTTTCTACTTTGTATTCTTCTTAGCTTTCCACATTCAAAGAAATGGTTCATAGTTCATGCATATGGAGTTCTCTAACTAACATCTAATTATAAAATTGTAAAGAAACCCACAGGGTCCGATGTATTTCTAGTTTATCACAAAAATAAGTATTAGATACTAAAATAGATTACAGTGCCAGCAGTAGACAAGTCTCAAAATTTTGATAGCCACCTTAAACAACAAAAAGGAAGCATGAAAGCTTGAATTTGGTAGATTTTAACATAATGAGTCAACAGACGTAGTTAAAAAAAAGTGTCCTGAATCCTAGGTTGCACACGGGTAAGATAGAGAGATGAGCAAGGTCACTCCATCAAGAAAAGAAAAAAAAAGATGGTACTCCATACAATGTCACCTTCAAGTACAATAGCCAATAGTTTGACAATGACTTTCAAATTCAAGCAAATGTTATTTATCACAGTTCCATTCATAGCATGACACGATACCACCAAATGAACACATAAGAACAAGTGCCCTCTCCTTCATGACATCTCAACACATGCGACCCAATAAATCTCAAGCAACAGAGCATGTATTATGCTTGTTATAGCACAGCTTTTTGCAACGTTAATATTGTAAAAGAAAATAACATCCACATTATCTCTTTGAGGTTAGTTAGTAATTCAGCATGCAACAAAGTTTATATGGTGTACATGTCAACAAGAAGTTTCCTCAAGCATTACAGTTTGCAAGACCTAGTGGTAAGTGGAAGTCATTTTGTGTCCTATTATCCTAATTTGTATGTGTAGAAAAAAATTTAACCCCGGAAAGATCTTACTTTATAAAAACTTAGGTCTAACTTTGTCCCTTTAGAGTAAATTACCTATGGTAAATTATCACTTATTACTCAATTTCCAATGAAATCCTTATTGTCAATTACTCCTTTCCAAAATACAAGGGTTTCTAGAATTCAAATCTTGTACCACAATATAAGCATTTCTGCACTAATCCCTATCCATTCCAATCATTGCAATAATTCCAAAGCCAGTTAAATTGTTACAAATGGAATCTAAGCAACTGAAAAAAAAATAAAAAATTGACAACTAAAATAAAACCTTTTGACCTGGACCCTAGTATTTTCTAATCAACCCAAAAATCCTTGTATTTTTCTTTTGACCTGACACTAGTATTTTCTATTCAAACTAAAAATCCTTATATTTAAATGGAGGTAGTAGCTAGTTATGACAACTACTCTAGCGAATTCTCCCATCCTTTTTGTGTTTTGTAAATTGGTAATAGTAATCGGGCAATATTATCTATGTTTTCTAGAAAGTTATAGCTCACTAAGTCTAAAGCTTAACATGCAACCATGTTACATCATCACCCACTATAATTATATATTTAACCTCATACAAGCATACAACATCATCTACAATTTATTTAATTCTACAAATCATGCAAGCATATCCAATTATCACCCCTCACATCATTTGCATAATATTTTAACAAATCTATCTATCATTTTTTATAATATTTAACATATACTTATCAATATGTTTCACATTAAAGCACAGATATCGTTTGTTTGTTTATGATAAGTACCGATAAACCCTGATGTTTCATTATTTTCCCCCCTTTTTTTACTTCTAGCATGATCGTCGAAAAAAAAAATATTGATAATTGCTTAATAATTCCAACAGCAAAGCGTGGGAAATCAACTTAGTTCTCTTAAGGTTTGAAGACATTCATATGAAATGCACACAGAGAGGACTAAAGTTCCACCATATTCAGCCAGAGGATGGAATCACTTTTATGAATGGTAAACTAGGTAGAATTTTGCAAAACATTAGACAACATCAACACACATCTGCCAACAAACGAGAAAAAACAGAACAGAAGATAATAGTGATGACGGAATGGATCTTCATTCAATAGGCATCATCTGTAACAAATACGTAGAAATAGTACAGGAAACATATACCGAGCAGCTAAGATCATGAATTAACATGCACCCTTCTGCGTTACGCCAAAGAAAAAAAAGCAGAATATAGTGAGAAAATTAAGCAATGGTGGTCTACTCTTCCCCCAAGTTAAAACCACTACGGAATGATTTGCAATAATTCTCTTAACCAAAGTCCCAAAGCATGAACCAATAAAAAACCAACAGAAAGCCAAGTTTGCATCATGATTTGATAGCAACACGAACACTAGAGGCACATCAAATTATGGGGGTGAAAGGCTCAAAGATAACGACGGCAGATGACAACGTGAGTGACGTACACAAAAAGAAATCCCTGGAAGCATGCAAACTATTTAGGACAGGAGCATTTTAAAAAATGACTTAGTGACGTCCCAAACAGAGGTAATTTATTTTCTCAAAGAGAAAAGACAGTTTTAACATCGATGAGCTAGACGAAGCAGAAGCAGCATTAGGCATTTATAGTTTTTTTTTAAAAAAAATCATGCTGAGCACAGAAGAGAGCAACAGTGACAACAAGTATTTCAGACAGGGCAACATATTTTGTTCGCCCTGTGATGGTTCACTGCTAAAGTTGCTTCAGCAAAACCGGAGACGAAAAATAGTAAGCTCACATTCTTGTGATGCATAATTTCACCAGTGCAAGGGCAAAACGGCAGCCGACAACTCCTTTGACTAACATTGGGGTACAACATATTTTGACAACCGGAACGACAATCAGTGAAAATTTTTCACATCCATTTCTACTCAAAATACATTTCTTTTTTTTTAGGATTTAAAATGGTCGTTATACTCACCTACCCCATGTTTATCATGGCCCACAAAAACTTTAACGTCACATAGCACAATCTGCCATCTGCATCGAGCTAAGTTGCTGAATCAAGGGTGGCAATGATTACTAATGAGACATGCACTAGGGCTTCTGGTCTCTGTTGTAAGCTCATGTCTGCGGATCTGATGATTTTTCACTAGCATCAACTGTTTCTGCAGTAACTGCAGCATCTGAGGTAGCACCAGGGTTAACATTTGAAATCTGGTCAGGCTTGTCCTCCTGCATCTCGACATCGTGGCTATTCGATGGCTCCTCAACCTCCGCATCAGCCATTTCTGCATCAGCATCACCTCCTACATTTCCATTCGGTACTGCTGCAGGATGTTCCGGCAGCCTTTCAGGTTCTACTTCAACAGCGCTGGTGTTCTCTGTCATTACTGTAGCTTCTAAATTTGACACATGAGCAGCTGGGTATGGATCAGTGCACTTGGTCATTGTAGATGTGACCAGGAGGTTCTGCAAATAAGAGAGCTTACAGTTGGTAATGAAGAAATCTTGATAGATTAAACTCAGTAATATTTTGCATGATAATGTGCACTGAAGGAAAACAAAAACAGATTTGATCTGCCCTTCTTATAACAGATTTCAATTCTGAGATTAAGTTCAGTGACCTATGTGATACTGTCTAGACAAAACTTAATATACAAAGACATTACCTTGAGTGAAAATATTGTACTTTGGTTTCAAGATCATAACATCAGTTAAATCTTTTTTTGACAAGATCATCAGTTAAATCTTTCAAAAAACATGCAAGCATTGTCACTATGTTGCATCTATTGTTATCATACACACGAAATGGCTAGGTTATCCAGAAATATATAACTTGAGCATTCTAGTAATAAAAAAGGCTATATTTACCTAAATGGGCGGAGATACAAAATAACCTCACACATTTTAATCAACCAAGTTATGCAGAGGAATGCAGCCATTAGATTCTCAGTTAGTGGCACAATTAAAGGAAAACCTGAGGTCCAACATAAAAATTTATAATTTATGCACCCACAGATGGTCTATTGATTTCTTTTACATGATGATAAAAATTTGTCTCCACAAGATCTATTTGAGTTGAGTGAAGTGAGTTGTAAGCTATTAGACATTATTTTCAAGGTGTAGTTCACTAGGTAGATCTAATTGGGCTCTAGATCAACAAATTAAAGTCATACATTGCACTGCAACATAACAAAGGAACCACATAATCTGATATATTCTGCAAAACAGAAAGCTCAGCTAACAAACCTTTTCCAAGGCCAAAGCAAGCTTTGGCAGTTTAGTATATGTTCCTTTTGGATCCAACAAAATCTGCAAATATAAAACTAATGTAAGTATGTGAATTCAAAGCAATGCAAGTCCAAAACAGATTATGAAACAACAGAACATTCTTTCGAAATAACTGCACTACCAACATCGAACCACTAAAGAGAATTTTTAAATAGATTATTCATAACCTCACATAGCCTTTGCAGTGTAAATGGAGGACCTTCTTCGAACCTCAAGAGAGCTGCAAACATTTTTTTTTTAAAAAGAAATTAGTGATTTGTGTATGCTCGATAAAATGCAGGTCAGGAATGATGGAAAGGTGGCCTGTAGAAAAAACACTAAAGGTGCAAGGTCTTGTATGACCTCCAGTAAAGAACAATTTTCAATGGACTAGTATAACACACTATGGAATACTAACAAAAAAGATTCAAAATCCACCAAATGCTACTCCCATCTAAACCATGCTCGACATAAATGAACAAAACAATGCAATATACCACTGCATTACAGTACAAAAGCTATTTAATCATTTACAACAAAATATAATTTGCATCAAGTTATGCAAGACAGTCAATATTTCAAACGTTGGTCCTTCAGTGTTAAAATGTATTTCAAGTTATTGATGACTGTAAGCTACGGTAATGCACAAAAACTACAAGACAATCAATGTAAGATTACAAACCGTGATGAATCTAAACTTGCATTTAGTGAGAGAAGAAATGTGAACATTTAACAAACTAGCCTAGCCTAGAGCCCATGCGTTGCAACCGAAAGTTTCTACCTTATTAAATCAATTAATAAGCACTTATTTAGTCCAAGTAATACTATGATTTTCCTTATGGAAAAAGTAAGTGATTTTGAAATTCGGGGAGAGCTAATAGTGAAAAGGGAGAACTCATTGAAAGGTGATGTAATAGTATAGATTGTGGGGCCCACATGTCAGTGGTAAAGGTGATGTGGGAATGAACACCACCACTACTAATATTTTAAGTAGTATAGATTAAAGATTCATAACAGTACCATCATTGAGCCAGATGACAAGCTCGGAGTATGTCTCCCCAGAGAAAGAATTCTGTAGCTGCCCATCCTCTTGGCTCACCACTTGACCCTCAGAATATTCAGCCAAGACCTTCATACCAGGAACAATGAATGTTGAAGTACTGTACTTTGATTAAACATACTAAGAACAATAATCCTCAACATAAACTCCTTTTGGTGGCATACCTCCCCATACCTGCTTCAATTGGAGAGACAGCAATCTCTTGAGAAAGCTCCAATCATGCCTGAAAAGTAAGAAGTTAATCTCAAGGGAAAAGAAATACCCTACTACTTGTTTTTTCCCTGATGCTATCAACAAGCATCAATCTCTTGATAATTAAAACTTAACTAAACCAGCTTAATGTGTTTTTGGTTCACTAAGCATCAGCAGAACTAGCACTGAAATTAGTACTGATTTTCAAATGCTAGGTGCTAGGCTGCTAGCTACCAACCTATTATAACAAATCATCTGTTCAAGATGATGAATAAAACTGAAATCTTTATGGCAGATTAGCAGATGCATTGTTTTCAATATCCAAAGACCTTTAAATAAGACTAAGATATCCAAATTTGACCAGGGATGAAACCTAAGGGACAGTAGATCAAGTAATACCAGAACTTTCCCGTGTCAGCTATAATTTCTATGACTGATCTCATTTCCTCAGGAGAGACATCGAAATTTTCCTCTGTAGATCTGCAACAAAATACATTCTGCTAATTTTCAGAAACAAAGCCAAAAGAAGGAGCTGGATACAATTAATTGTAAACCAATACGTGGAATTTTTTTTTTTTTTGCTTTTCAAAACCTGTAAGGTTAATAAATTATCTACTTTACTTCCAAGAATCAACAAAATTGAAACGCCAATACAGTAGTTATGCTGCCATATTAATAAGGAAATTCTATACTCCTTAAAAAGACTCCAATGGTGGTGGCAGTGAATCTGCCACCCCACCTACTCCTATTGTAGTTTTTACATATTACCCCTTGGACTTCTTAATATTATATAAAAACTAAAACTAAGTCGATAGACACATATAAAATAAAATTAAGGTGAGTACTCCCTATAGCAAAAAAAGTGGGTAACACATATATTTCATGTAAAAAATGTTATTGCTTATTTTAGGAAATTTTATGATATTTTACCTTTAATTTATCCATAGCAAAGCACAGGCATTTAGTATAAGAATATGTTTTCAAGCAATGCAATTTCATATGAAGTCAAACAAGCACCGTAGCCCAGATGGATTTATCTCGAATTTATGAAATTTCAACATTATTCAACAACGTGAAAACATTGCAAGTGTCCCCTCCAACAAAAAGGTATCACTGTGGAAAGCATGTAGTCAAAGTATTCGAATTTTAACCTACAACATATCATTGAATATATGAAAAATGATATTAACATATCCTAAAACAGCATCAAACTGCTATTCTGAAAGTCATTGCAAACCAGTGGCCAAAGTTGAAGTTTCTAGACTATGAAAGAAGCACCCTATTTAACTGGACATATTATCTATTGGATGTGACACAAGAAAAAAATGTTCAGCTTATAGTGAGTTGGGAATGTACACTAATCATTACATATTTCAGTAAATTTAACCAAATACAATTGATGAAGAAAAGGAGGAGACTCCTGATTCTTCTGCTTTCAGTAGTTGCATAGAAACTGTGTGCCCATATTATAAAATGGAGTAAATATGCTCTAAAGGTGTTTAGTTTGATATAAAGCCATATGCTATTTTAAATAATCCTTCATTCAAATTAAAAGCCTAAACGGTAGGGAATATGTTAAAAATATATAGAAATTACTATAAGATACAAGCTCATTTTGGATGCGAGGAACCTAGAAAGTAGAAAATTAGTCCCATTCAGGCATACTGAACAAAGCTACAAGCCAACAGTGGAAGCAAATTTTAAAAAAAAACACAACGTCATCTATTTCATCTTGGTTCGGTATGCAAAAGGAATGTGTGGCGCATAGATGGCGCAGTTTGATAAATCTATTAAAGTAGACAAGAAGCTCCACTGGAAAAGGTGTTGGATGTACACTTCATTTGCAACCCATGTTGTAAGCGAGGAGACAAAATAAGGATGCGACAAAGACCCATCGGGTACTGAAAATATGTGCATTATTTGCCTATGCAATGGGTAGAATCATCTCATGCTGATGATGAAATGACCTTGCATGATTTCCTACAGTCACTCCTCGCTTTTCTTGCATTCGCTATTCATGGTTGCTGATATGCATCTATCTAGCCAGTTTAACTTCACGATGTAAAGAAACAGCGTCGCGCAAATCCATTAGTAGCAGCTGGCACTCAATCATTACGCACACACCACATGGATATCCTTATAATGCCCAACTAAATACGCATCTAGTCGCTAGCTAACACTCATTGAAAGCTAGTTCTACAGATCCAATCAACAACAGCGTAATTTTGCATCACTCACCCATGCTTCCCGTCCTCCGTGGCTGCATCCTCGATATGCTGATCCGAATCGACGGATGCTTCGGGCGCCACAGCGGGCCCCACCGAATCCTCCCCAGCCGCGCCCTCGACACGCTGGTCTCCCTCGGCAGCGGACTCCGGCGCCACAACGGGCGCCGCCGCCGCCGAGTCCTCCACCGCCGCACCCTCCATTGCCAGCCCTTCGAGTAACTGCAAGGATGGGAGCAATTATTAGCCAGAACCAAGCACGCAGGAGTAGGACGCCGCACCGCACGGGCCGGGGGGTGGTTGCGGCTAGGGTTCGTAGAAGCGGGAAGAGCAGATAGGGCGCTGGCGCAAGGTGCCCGAGATTTAGGGTTACGGCGGGGGTTGCTGCGGTGGACAGTGGCTGTCCGTGGTGGTGCAGCGGAGGAGTGCGCTCACCTGCAGCCTTGTCGCCGGCGGCGGCGCCGGCGGAGGAGGAGGGCGACGAGGTGTGCGGGAGGTGGCGAGGTGTAGGAAGGGGAATGGTTTTGGTTTTGGGGGCGTTCTGGCCTTTTGGGTGAAGAACTTGCTCGATTGTTCCCTTCCAAGAGCCGTTCTGGAACGGGATTATTTGGCGCACGCAAAACAATAAACGTGATACGGAGTAAGTACGAAGTATAACTAAATGCTAATGGAGTATTAATAATTAAAATTAAAATTTTTAAAACGGATTTATTTTATCTTTGAAAACACTTTTTATGAAAGAAATTCTCGTACGAAATATATTGTATAGCAGTTTTAAAAACGTGCTAACAAAAGTCAAGTATAAACATAGTTTAAACCGTTGTAAGTCACGGTGTAAGGTGTAATGTCTGAGTAGATTTCCTCATGAATTTTGTTATATGCAATCTTTTGTTTTGGAATAGGCCCAAGCATTTATGTTTGGGTTTGTTTGGCTACCTTGGTCCATCTTTGATGGACCTAAAACACAATAAAACTGTTAAAAATAAAGTAAAATAGAGCAAGCTAAGGTACATTAAAAAACATACTAATGTTTGAAGCTCTATGATACAATCCTTTTGATTAAACTACATCCTTAGCTTTAAAACTGAATATCCAACATACACAACTTTTAAAACTATATAATTCACCTCTTTTCCAAATAAAAATGATTTTAACCTACACGTTGACTATTTGAACTGGTATTTGTCTACAATGCATCACATGGTAGATGTGTAGTTAGTTAGAAAAACAAATAGAAAAATCATGGGACCACCCGTCATCTCCTCCCGATCTTTCTCAGCTGTCAGCGGAGGTATTTTATTATGAAAATTTCAGTGCATTTATATTTTAAAAATTTCTCATAAAAAACTTATAAAAAATGAAAGAAAAATATCGCACATGTTTTTATGAGTTTTTTATGAATCTATAAGTTTTTTATGAGAAATTTTTAAAAAAATTTCAGTGCATCTATGAACTATCCTATACTACTTCCACTCATAGATTTTTGGATTTCTTTTGAAAAAGGATGCCCAAAAATTGAAAACCCTACCTGGCTACCTCAGCATATCTCGCTATCCACATACCTCTATAGTTTTCCTATAGAGGTGCTCAAAATTTGAAAACCCCACCTTCACATATCTCACTCTCCACAACTCAAGAGTCCCTGTTCCTAATTCGTGAATCTAAGGGGAGCTCGTAGGATTGTTTATTAGGACTCATTTCTCGGTTTTAGGCCATATATATTCAAAAGGAGAATTTTTTTATGCACCAAATTCTGTTTAGGATTCTTGAAAATAAAATTTCAGGGATAGATTTTTGGGTGTCTCCGATGCAGTGGGAATTGTCTGCAGTATTACTGGTATAGTATCATACACTGACGCTTGGGCCTATACCCACATATTTGCCATGACTACTAATGAGAGCAAGTTTAATAGTATAGCCAAGTAATAGCTCCAAATCATTTATAGCTAATTTAGTAACCTATTCATATAATAGTTATTTATAAATATATACTACATCATTAATATCTCTGATCCACATCTCATATACGTATAACGTCATCTAATCCGTAATGCAAGTGGCTATAAATCTGTAGTCCACTCTTTTTCTCTCTTCTCTCTTACGTTCTCCACGTGTGTTTACTAGTATTGTTCTTGCTGATCTGCATCCCTGTAGACGATGCCTGAAAAAAGAAATACAGAAAACACAGGAAAAAAAGAAGGACCCATTCGGCCCGTGAAGAAGGCCCAGACGGCCCGGCCGGGTTTAAGCAGGGGTTCTCCTCTTTCCTCCTTCCCCCACACTGACACACGCACCACCCCCCCTTGCGGCGGCGCCTCCCCTCCCCTCCCCCTCTCACTCCGGCACCATGCTGCTGCGATCGCCGGCGAGGTCGAGCCCCCACCTCCGCTCGCTCCTGCGGGCGCGAGGCTTCATCTCCTCCGCCTCGCCCTCGGCCGCCACCGCGGCGGAAGGGGACGACGGGAAGATCGTGGCGTCCGTGCTGTTCGAGCGCCTCCCCGTCGTCATCCCCAAGATCCACCCCGTCGTCTACGCCTTCCAAGAATTCTCGTACTCCCAGATCTACCCGTGCCCTCTCTCGGTTCTCCGCGTCGAATGGCTTCCGTTAGTCTGACTCTTCGGATATATATATATATATATTTTTGCTGCTAGGTTTCGGTGGAGGCAGCAGTACAGACGGAAGTACCCCGACGACGTGCTGGGAAAGGCCGACGCGAGGTGATTTTTTCTCCCTCGCTTGTTCCAATCATATGTTTTTTTTAACTAATTCGCATGACTGCCATTTCTGGTTACATCGAATTTGATTTAGGATAGACAACAAGTGCATGTGTATAATGCAGTAAAGTAAATGCGCTGTGTATTTTGTTTCTTTGTAGCTGCGGATAGTAGCAAATTTAAGTTTAAATTGGTGTAAGATTTGGAAATAGAGAAGGTAGAATGTGCAGAAGGAACACCATCAGAGTGTTTCTACTGTCCTTAGGGGGTAGGTTTTGGGTGCTGATTGTGAGGTACAACATTCCTGGTAACAAAAGTTACTGTATAACACTACCACTAAGATGTATATACCTCCAACACTATGAGGTGCATATACCTTACTGTACCTCCCAGGAACTGTGGAGAAAACCAAAAAACTGACATGATATGCTAAGCATCTTTATGAATAAGCATGGGAAACAATTATGAGTAAGCATTGTCAACTAGCGTCTGTAAACCGGTGAACAAATTAGATTGGTTGTGCCTTGTGAGTATGATGATATGGGTTTCTTGGAATTTACAGTTTATTCTGATCTATGGACATCATACATGGAGCATTAAAATTGATAAACGAATAGACACTGTTTTATTTAGTAGTTGCATCTTAATATCTTATTGCAACCTGTAGATAATAAGATCCAATGGATAAATGTTAACTGTCAAGTGATCACCAAGTTTGTCCTGGTTTGAGAGGTTGAGTGAGCCAACCAACTGATGTTGAATAGAAACCTTGTTCTTGAAAAATATTGTTGTTTCAAATATTGTTGTTTCAATCTCACAATCTGGAACGGAGCTCAGGAGACCAACCGCAAAGGATGCACATTCCATTTCATGTGAATTAAGCATTAGCTTAGCAGAAACAGAAATTGATATCTTCAATTAGAGCTATCTGCTTCAAAAATAGATTGTATACTTTTCTTTAGCATTTGGGAATATACAAAAAATTTAATCTGATACATGAATACTTTGTGTATAGACCTTATTCAGTTCTAGACTTCTAACCCTATATTTTGTACGTTATATGTGGAAACATGATAACTAAATGGTTTTTGCATTTAGGGGCAAGGGAGATTATCAGATAGATTATGTGCCTGCTCCAAGAATCACAGACGCTGACAAAACAAACGACAGGAAGTAAGTCTTGAACTCCCATTCCTGTAGTTCTATACTCTGTTTCTCTATCTTGTTGGGCAGTTCCAGCTTGATGAAGTCATGCCTTGCTGTTGTTAACACTGATAATATGTGTCACCCTCTTGTTGTGCAAGCATGTGCTAAGTTTTGTTGAAACAGTTATGTGTCATGTATGTTCTGTATTTGTCTTGTTCTGCAATTTAATGGATATTACAGAAACTTATGTTATCTGTTTAGCTGTTTTAAAGTATACAAAATGACCTAAGTTCCATATTGACGGATACAAAATGACCTAAATCCTATCCTCTTCTTGTGCGGGTTATTTTTTTCTTCTCCATATAAGCACAGCATTATGAAATTGTGTTGAAACTTAAAACTTTATGTGTTTAATGAATATACTCTCATGGGATTGCTGAGTTGCTCATTTTATTGTCTTGGCAGCCTAGCACTTAGCTTGCACTAAACAATTGTTTTCTGTAGGTCACTACAACGAGCTCTTGATAATAGACTCTATCTCCTTCTGTATGGCAAGGCTTATGGGGCTCCTGATGACAAGCCTGTTTGGCATTTTCCAGAAAAAGTTTATGACAATGAAGACACTTTGCGATTGGTATGCACATCTAAAATTTCCATTATCTGATCTATGCTGTAGTCTGGTTCTGATTTCTTTGTGTTATCATCTTTCATTCTGTTGAACATCAAATTTTGAATTTTTGTCTCACACTAACCAATTCCACATATTATTTTCTTATACATAATGTTTTTTTTATTTCAGTGTGCTGAATCAGCATTAAAATCTGTTCTTGGTGGACTCAACAATACGTATTTTGTTGGCAACGCGCCAATGGCTCATATGGTAGTTGACCAGAAGGAAGATTCAAGCATTTCATCATTCAAGGTGCTTATTTCTTGTTTTTCATCATTTGGGAAAAAATGCATTGTGCACTATGTTTTTTTTAAGAGAATAGGCTTTGCACAACTTTTACTTGAAAGCATAAGAGTTCAGATGTTTTAATTATTTGCATACTTGAAAGTGACTATTCTATCCACATGCCACCATCTTGAACTCTAACCTTAGTTTGCCTACCAATTTTTCATCATCAGCTTTAGCATTCCGTTTATACTTCTCTGCTTGAATACAACCGTTGGTTGGATGTGTTGTCATATGTAATAGTTCCATAATCCAAGTATACTTCTTGCAGCGATTCTTCTTTAAGTCACAAGTGGTCGGTGCCACGAAATATGATATCGGAAAATGCCAGGACCACGTGTGGGTGACCAAAGATGAGTTACTGGAGTATTTTCCGGAGCACAAGGCTTTCTTCAACAAGATGATCATTCACATAAGATAGCCCTTTTATCTGATTGGGGCAAGCTGGGACACTCTGAAGTTTGAACAATGAGCATTGTGTTGCTTGACCTGTGTACAAGTTTCCTGCCACCACTTATCATCCTGAACACAATTGGCAAGGAAAATTACTCATCAAGTGTTCCTCCAAAGACACCCACATAGATGTATTGCCCATTTTTGTCAATCATATGGCAATCCTGTAGCCTTGTAGGCTTTTTTCCCAGCTGCTGTATTTTTAACATGATGTACTACCGTTCTATTATTCTTGGTGAAATAATTAACATGGCATTTTGGCCCCTCCTTCCTTTGTTGGGGTTTCTAGTTTTAATTCTGAGATTCTTCCCCATCGTTTGGCATATTCATATGCTTATCAGCCAAAATTTAAATTTTCAACATTAAATTGGAAGCTGATTTTGAGGTTTTTTCATCGAAGTTTATTTTTCAGCCTTTGCTTGTAGATCGCTAAGAACACATATATAAAAGTTTTATTCACAAATTACTTTTCGTTTACAAATATGCCGTTTGGCTTATTCCACCGTTATGCCAAACGATGGCACCCTTGAACAATGGAATCATGGAATGAGTGCTCAATATTCTGCTGTTCTAGAATTCCAAAAATCTGTGAGCACCTACTGTGGCAAATTTGGTAACCACGCGGCCGCCTTTTCTTTTTGTTTCCGTTTGCAGTGGGCCCCACGCCGTCCAAGAATAGAAAGCCCGAGTCCCAGCAGCGGATGTGGACCTGGACCATGCAAGACGACACGTGTCAACTCCCAGCAGCTACAGAACACGCCACCTCCTCATCCCCTCTCGCCGACCAGTACAACCAAACTCCAAGGCAAGGCAAGTTCACTATTTTTTCTTTCCCTCTATTTTTTTCTTCTCCTTACTTCAGCTGTTCCTTCCAGCTTCTTTCAATGCTTGGCTGTTCTCCCAGGGCAAAAGAAAGAAGAGGAGGAAGACAACTAGACAAGGTTCTAGGAACTTCTAGAAACGAGCCAGCTAGGGCTGTGTGCTTCTAGCTCTTGCCCTGCAGCCTGAACTGCAAGGGAGTTTTGGACCGGTCCCTGCCTCTCCAGGATGCAGGTTCCTGTGGGTTTTCTCTCCAAGCTCTGGAGCTTTGTTTCCTTCCTGCCATTCTTCCTCTTGCTCCTCCTCCTTGGTTCCATCAAAGGTAGGTTTCAGGTAAAAAAAAAAAAACACACTCACATCGACAATTTTGCTGCTGGTTATTTTTGTTGTAGTAGTATTTTGCTCGGTGGCTATTGTTTTGTAGCAAGCAGGAGTTGTTCAGCCCTCAGATGGTGTGGAATGGATGGAATCTGAAATGATCTTCTGATTGTTTTTTAATTTTTTTTTGTGCAGCTGTGCTAATTGGTCCAATTGCTGCCGCCATCATCTTTTTGGGGAATTCTGCTGTTATTATCGGCCTGTGGCCTGCTCATTTCATATGGACATACTACTGTGTTCTGAAGTATGGTAACTTCCTCTGCATTGGCACCAATACTTGCGGCTGATCCTTCGTTAGTTAGTTTCAGTATATGAAATGTCAAGTAGTGGCCAATAGTCTTGAATTGTGGTAAAACTGTAGCAAATGTTTAATTCCTAGTGTGCATCATGGGGTCATTCTTATGAGCTTTAGTCTTTACAAAAAATTCTTATGAGATTTCAGAGCGGAGCGTATTGGACTAGTTTTGAAGATCCTTGCTGCGATACTGCTGCCATTGCCTTTGCTCCTGTTGCCAGTACTTGCTATTTCTGGGAGCCTTCTGGGTGGTATAGGATATGGAGTTTTCATTCCACTAATGGCAACTTTCGAGGCTGTGGGTGAGGGTGTCGCGGACAAGCTCACCCATTGTTTTTTGGTAAGTAGGCGTCGTTGAAGTTCTGATACATGTATTAGTTTTCAGATGTACAACTGAAGATCTTGTAGTGGTTTAACATTGATGCATAATGTTAGGATGGCACGGTCAGTACAACAGCCGGAGCTTGCACGGTGGTGCGTGATGCTACCGATTTCTGCTTCCACTCATACTTCTCTCTTATGGATGAGCTCATAAGAAAATTGGGAGATAATGAAACTCCTCTTGACATCAAGTATGTTCTCATTATCTGTCATATTTTTAGATAATGGGAAGAATTTCATTAGAAATGAAATCACACCTGGCCTCAGTGTCAACCAGGGACACGCACAGTCTAGAAAAGAAAATAAAAAACTAAGGCAAACATGAACGTATCATGCTGTCTTACAGCAACTCACTCATAATCTGTTATATAAGTTAAAACGACCATTCAGACATACTTTCATCTTATTCAGAATGCACAGTTGTTTTCGGAAGAAGAATATAGTGCTAACCATGTACCCATAGATCCTTTTGGACTTGATTCTGCCAAACCTGCATCATGTATCAAATGGCTTGAGCACTTCTTTTACTAATACAATTTGTTTTGTTGGTGAAGACTGTCTTATCTACCACACAGCATGCTTGCTGTTCTTATTGCTGTTCCTTTCGACGTATTCATGATAAGTGGAGTGGCATTGTGGAAAAGCCCCTGCATGTTGTTGAAAGGATGGCAAAGGCTGTGCGAGGACTTGGTTGGAAGGGAAGGACCGTTTCTAGAAACAGTCTGTGTTCCTTTCGCTGGTTTGTCTATCATATTATGGCCACTTGCTGTAATTGGGGCAGTAGTTGCTTCATTTCTTAGCAGCTTCTTTTTTGGTATGCGTGCTGGATTAATTGCTTATCAGGTATGGTTAGCATTTTCTCCGATGAAAGTAGTAGCGTTTCGTTTTGCGAAGCACTCTTATGTTCTGTCACGTGCTAGGATTATTTGGGATGAAAAGGGGTGAAGGGAAATATATATCATGGGCTTGGGTCTGGGAGTCCTAGGCCCAATGGGAACGATATCCCCACCGCTCACGATAAGTACGTAGCTCAGTTGGATAGAGTCAGGGTATGTTAGGATTAGGTTAAGGAGTCTTCCATCTATATATGGAGGGATCCTATCCCAGGTCAGTTAGGCATTAGATCAAGATTTGTCTTAGTTTCCATCAGCCCTGCCTTCTCGACACGACGGAGAGCGTCATGTCGTATAGGTTCAGGGCCATTCCCTGCTACTTCGTCTATTATAATCCAATCTGTTTCCCTTCACAGCTTCACCCCTTTTTGTCCCAAATAATCCTAGCACGTGACATGTTCGGTCTGTGACATGAAACTTACTTGCATCGTTGTGACCTTCTGTGAATCCACACAGGAGGCTTCTCTCCAAATGGGACTAGCATATATGGTTTCAGCAGTAGCATTGTTCGACGAATACACAAATGATATGCTTTACTTAAGAGAAGGCTCATGTTTTCCAAGGTGCGTCTTTTTTTTGACAAATATTCCCACTGCAACACACCATTCATATGTGAACTCTCTTTACTTATTTGTGTCCATGCATAGATATGTACTCTAGCTGCCAGTAAACTACTTTTGACAGACAGGCCCAAGTACCGAAAAACCGATAGGATGAATAACGAGACTGGTCAGAACAATGAAGTGCGCAATGCTACATCTCCATTGGGAGAAAAGAAACACCACCATAAAACCATGAAGGCTTTGCAGCGATCAAAGACATTTATGGAAGCTATCCAGCGGCTTAGACCAATTCAAGTATTTGAATCTCTCTTCCTCCTGCATGATCTAAGTCCCTGTTCTAAAACTACAATCTAGGGACTAAGGGCGCAGCTGAAAATTCTAAATTTATCTGTTTCCCTTTTATTTACTTCCTCAGATATGGGATTGGCTCTTCCGATCTTGTGAGCTGAATGGAAGGATATTACTGGGTGAGGGATTGATTAGTGCTGAGGACATGGAAGAATGTATCATCAAAGGAAAATGCAAGAAATTAAGCATAAAGTTGCCTGCCTGGTGCATCCTTCAATGCCTGATACGATCTGCAAAACATGATTCGCATGGTTTGCTCATATGTATGACTGCATTCAACCCATAGTATTTTCAAATTCATGGTTCAATGCGTTTTATTCCTAAGTAATCTGATCTTAATGATTCACCATCTCTCTTTTATTCTTCTGTCGTTGTAGCTGACGATGTTGAAGTGACAAACTTCAACTGGCCTAAAGACAAAGTGTTTGACTGGATGCTTGGACCACTTCTTGTTATTAAGGAGCAAATGAAGCAATTAGAGCTAACTGAAGATGAGGAACTATGCTTAAGGAGGCTCATCATGACAAATAACAATGATAAACCATCTGACTGGGACGATTGTGGTTTCCCGTCAAGCGATAATATAAGGAGAGCTCGGCTGCAAGCGATAATCAGAAGGTACGCAATGCTCTTGATTCACTAGTATTTGAAAAAGAATGTTACTATGCATCAATTCTTTCTATAGGTTAGCTTTTGGTAGCTAGTAAAATTGAACCAAATTACTTGGAACATACAAGAGAAACTCATCATCAACAGGTTGCAAGGCATTGTTGTCAATTTGTCGTGGGTACCGAGCTTCAGGAGACGATTCATCGATCTGGTTAAGGCATTGTATCTCGAGGCGGTCGAGGCAGGCGCGATCGACGGCTCAAGGAGCGTGAAGCGCAAAATCGAGGCTGATGCTGCTTCTGCTCCTGGAAGCAAGTTTGATGACAAAGATGGGGAGGGCTCATCAAAGGGCGCAGCAGCAGTGGGCATTGATGCAGTGTGATATCTACTGTTTGTGTACACGAAATTTACCTGGCTTCCATCATGCATTCTGCTGGGCCTTTTTTTTTTCTGGTAACTGCCTATGCATGTTAATGTACTGGAGACATCCTGTAACTCTGTAAGAGATGGCAGAAAAGGGTCCTATTTGGCTGTATGGCACCTCCAAGTCTCCAACTTCAAATCTAACTTCAAAACATTTTGGAGTTGGATCTGGGATTAGGTTAGGTGCTAATGTGAGACTTTCTGTTCATACTTTGTATTAAGATTAGATTATTAATTCACTTTAATTTATTTTAAATCAACTAATGTTCATATTTTGGAGTTTTGTGCTGGTTCGGGTCCAATGATGTTTAGACTGGAAGCAACGATGACACCTCTAGACCAGCGGCTAATATTCTAGCTAGGTGACTGACTCCCGTGTCGCCTCTCTGGGCGACCTGGGAGGCGAAGGCCGACGCCCTAGCATCCACAGCGTATCTTGCCTGCCTCACCGCTGCTGGCGGCGCCTCCCTCCCTCCCTCTTGCTTTCCTCTTCTTCCTTCCCCTTTTCTCCAGATTTGAGGCGACCAAGAAGGCTCGAGCTTGGCTCTCCTCACGTCTGGCGCCGGCGGCCACCTCCATCCTTTCTTGAGCAGGCGGCGGCGACGGCAGCGAAGGCGTCGAGGGGGACGATTGGACCTAGCCAACTAAGGTCCAGATCCGGTGCGTCTCCGGTGGGATTCGAGTGTATCTCCGGCGCGAGAGGCTGGATCCCCTATTGTGGCGGCGGCTGGCAGTAGTGGTGAAGGTGGCGAGGGGGACGACCGAATCTAGCCCCACAAGGTTTAGATCCGGCACATCCCAGAGGAGATCTGGCGAGACTGGCTCCTCGGTGGCAGCAGCGACAATGGGGTTTCTTGGCGGTGTTTGGGTGGCCTGCGTGGTCGTCCGTCGACACCATCGGCTTCTCCAAATCCAGGCCTTGGGTTTCCAGCGGGTTAGATTACCAATTGGTGGTTGTTCGGCAGTTCTGACGGGCTTGCTATGTCGCTTAGCATGGAGACTCGTGTAAGACAGGCGGCGGCATCGCATGTCATCTTGGCAAGCGGTCCCGGAGCTTTGGCTGCTCTTCGTTCGACCCACTTCTTTCTGTGGAACTCCTCCCCTCCTCTCCACGTGGAGTTCCATGGTGTGGTGCAGTGATGGAAGTTGACCAGGGCGACGGACGGACGCCTCTGACAGTTTGGTGCCCGGTGGCTAAGAAAACCCAACACCGGTGTCGGTGGCTGTGTTGGACAGGTGGTGGCTTTGGGTGTGCAGGTACATTGGGTGGTTTTCCTCGTGCACGCGGTGGTTGGATGGTACTCTAAAGGCGAAAGCCTTGTGTGGCTTGCCGGCACTAGCAACGGTGACACCCTCGAGCGCTGTTCACCTTCTTGAAGGCATTGCTATGGAGCCTTTGTTTCTTTGTCGTCTCAAGGAATTTCTTCGGGGTGAAAACCTTTCATTTGTTTGAATCAGATGTTGTCACTGTTTTATCGACATATCCTTCTTGGAGGCATGACTTGAAATAACTTGTATGTTGGTATCACTTCAAGAGGAGTTATATCTGTTGTAATCCATGACCACTTAGGTGCGAGTAAAGGCTAAGTGTGGGGGGTATTGTTGATGGTCTTTAAATGCCAAATTTAACCATTAACTCTTGCATAAAACTAAACAAAATGAAACACCAAATATATTGGTAGGGTTTATTACTAACCATTTCCATGAGTATGGTGAATTGTTTGTATGCATGAGTTTTTGGATGAAAATGCACCTGACATGCGATGAAATGTACCTCCAGTCAATCATATGCGAGTACACGACATGATAATCAATAACATATACATGGTGTCTAGGTTAGATGTTAGTTGCGTTTGTTGTATGCTCAATAGGTTGTATAGGTAAGCGGTAGGTAGTGACAGCCCTGTTCGTCCTTAATCCTTCACGTTCGGGTACATCATAGAGTTGGAGGTCAGACTCTCTTGGCAGAACAGGGGGGGGCTTGTGCCCACAACAATTGATATAATTTTACTTTAACTTAAAATTAAGATAGTTAACCAATCCTCTCTAGCATTAGTTGTTGTCCTTGGATAAATTATGTTTCTTATATTATACATTTCCTGTAATTCGATACCCTTGGAATACTCTAAGGTGAAGTGCTACTTCGGTATCTGTATGCTTGCGGATTTTTCTGTGATCATATCAAATACCAACAAACATGCATGCATACACACCACCACACACGAATTACACACCCACGCATATGTGAGTACGTCCTGTATATACTTAAAGAGACGGAGACCAGCGTCATCCCAAGCCTCCTATTGAAAGCGAACATGTGTATGAGTAATATTCATAGACACTGGGATTTGAACCTATGTGGGTGGAGTTATGCACCTGCTATAGTGAGTTGGTGGTGGTGATTTGTGTCTTTCCACATCGATGCCCCTCTCTAGCTGCCATTGGCACTCGTACCCTCCTTTTCTCAGCCACCTTTTGTCATATATCTCGTAGAGGCAATCATTGAGGGGTTCTCCTTTGGGTAAGGGGTTCTTCAATACCCTTATGTTATTTTCCATTAAGCTGTTGACAATAAGATGCTAAAGACCGAAGTTCCTTAGCGTATTTAGCACATCCTACCAGTGATGGCATTTCCCTATCGTAGTCATAACCAATTCATGTAGAGTACTGTAGGATCAAGGAGGCTAACTGGGGGGGGGGGTGAATAGGCGGTTTTAAAACTTTTGGCTAAAACCGAGTTTTGTATGCGGAAGTGTAAATCAAAACGGTTTTGCACAATTCAAAACCTAAATCAACTAGTCTCAAGTAAGTGCACAAATAAGCTAGCCTATGTTAAGGTTTGCAAGCCTAGGTGATAATAGCACAAATAAGCTCTAGTATGTAAACTTGCTCAAATGTAAATGCAATAAATAAATAGGACAAGAGACAAGAGATTTTTCACTGAGGTTCGGAAACTCGCCGGTTTCCTAATCCCCGTTGAGGCGAGCCCAACTCCACCGCTCAACCACGAAGCCACCGCACGCCCCCTTCATCAAGGGGTGGGTAAGGTGGGAGCCGGCCCATGGAGAGGACTACCCAAGCCTCGATCACAAGGGTAGTTCTTCCTTCACTCCGAAGGTGGTGAACTCCAAACCACTCACAACCGGCGCCGGGCCTCCTCCACAATCTCCTCGGAGAGGTCACCGGGCAACACCTCCACAAGCCGTCTAGGAGGCGGCAACCTCCAAGAGTAATAAGCCTAGGATGCTTGCCGAGGATGATCAAGTGCCACACTAGCTCTAACAATGAAGCAATGCACTTGGATTGGCTTAACTCACTCTCCAACACCTCACTAGATAAACTAAGTGCACAAGGGTGTGAGAGCTCTTACAAGGGTTCAAGATAATGCAATGGAGTGCCAAAACCTTACCCTTGTTGCTGGGGAGTGGGTATATATACCCCCAACCACCAAAACTAGCCGTTGGGGTCGAAATCCCCAACTCTGTGCTCTGCCGGTCAGACCGCCATAGTGTGGCCGGTCAGACCGGACTACTTTGTAACGGCTAGAAAACTAGCCATTACAGGGCAATCATTGAGCCCTCTCAACCTGGCCGGTTTGACCGCAGTGTAGAGGCCGGTCAGACCGTCCACAGCTCGGTCAGACCGCCAGGGGCTCGGTTTGACCGACTGCGGCTCTGGCGGCTCTGGATCGCTAAGACGAGACCTCCTTCAAAATCAGGATGAGCGGTCAGACCGCCATGGGATCGGCGGTCAGACCAGACAACATACTTCGGTCAGACCACCATAATGTTGGCGGTTAGACCGCATGTCACTTTTCAGCTCAACCGACCGTTAGTAAAACGGCGATATCTCTTGACTTGGGTCTCGGAATTTGACATTCTTGGACTCTATGGAAAGCTTATTCAAAGAGCTATCCAACCCATGAACAATTTATCCAAGAAACACAACTTTTATCAGCGAGAAAGGGCTCACACTCCAAAGGATACTCCACCGGACAAAACCACATGAGGCTACCCAAACCTATAGGATGTGCCCACTTCTCTCTTTTTTTTTGGGACTTGAGAAAACTCGCGAAACTTGTCTAGACAAGCCCAACAAATGCACCTATATGCATATGAACTAATATGGCACAAGATCATCCACATGCTCGCTTCATAGACCCCTCTTGATAGTACGGCGCCTATCTAGAAAATCCGGTCTACACCAAACACCAAGACCGGGGAAAGACTACGAAAACATTATTAGTTCAATTATACCTTTGCCTTGCGCCATCAAACTTGGGGTTAATGCTTGAGTCAAGATCAACACTCGTGACCATTCGCTTGAACCATGTTTATGCCGAGGTCTTGACTATCCTTTGTTAAGACTTTCTTTTCATCACAATCTTGACTTCATTCTTGTCGACATGGCGATGTCCTTGGCTTGGTGACCATCAACCCATGGTGTCATCCATTAGCCTCATCACAATTAGACATATTCCTTTGCACGGCTCAAAGGAAAACATTAGTCCCAACAAATCGGTTGTCATCCTCCACTTGGTGACCAACCGGTTGCATATGAAAGATAGGGATATGTTTGTTGAGAATTCATTAACATCACAAGTGTCGTATACTCGTATGCAAGCTCAAATGCAAAGATCCAATATAAATAATAGGTGAACAACATGGATCTAAAACATGCACAACAAATGTATAGGATTTGCTCCCCCTAAATATATGTATACAAATAAATATACAAAAGAGGCAAGTGTATGCATAAGTTATGAAGAATCAATGGGGTTTATCCTATACACATGGAGAAGGCATGTAGCAATGATAAAGATAAACAAAAACACATACCTTCATGATCTCCATGTTCTCAATGTAAAGGAGAATATCGCTTTATCTCCATGAATTTCATCCTTGTCATGATTAAGGTCCATCACCAAAGAATGCATATCTATCACATCTCATTATCGGGAAATAACCTTGTTGAAAACTTATGTAAAAGAGAGGTTAATCCCATAAACATCGGTTTATCATCTATCACCAAAGCAACAATTACACAAATTGTTTAATCCAGATTTTTCAATATTTTCTCTCTTTTGTGATAGATAATAATCCGATATAAACAATATAGAGAGATGAGATGAAAGATGATTTCAAATCAAGATAGAAATCTTATAATAAACAAAATATAGAATAACCTCCCCCTCAAGATGTGCATACATATGGATATAAAGGAACACATATGCACATAATCAATCAAGATCAATGA